ATATAAGCCACTAACTGGTCGTTGACCACATCAAGACCTTCAAAACACAATTGACAGATACTCTTACCTCAACGTAGATGAATAGTTTCGCACAATGACCAGAGATATTATACATCAAGTACTCCGTGATCGAGACAGTGGTTTGAGTCTTTTCAAACAGTAAGGTAGCGAATTTTCGCTGCTCTTCAGGCATTGCTACAGTCTGTGGAAACCGATCCGAGTCGAGATTTTTACCAAGATGTCACACTAGTCCGAAAGACCACTTCCACCCACAAGCCGACCGTTTGATGTGAAAGTTTCACTGATAGTTGAAAGTTTCAATTCCAGGTGCGAAAGTATTACAGGCAAATGACCATTTCTCATCCGCGTCACTTGGAATTCGATACGCAGCGACCTTAGATGTCTAGCAGCTAAACTAGTTTGCACAACGACACTTCTACTTCCGGCTCATGGACCCCCCATTTTCTGTAAACACATGCATATCCAAACTCTGACACGGATATTCATGGTCTAAAAACGCTTTTGTTCATAATATTTTTATTTTTGAGAAAATCGTATCCAGTAATGACGAATGGTGAACGTATATTTGATAATTGAGTTATCTAAGCAATACAGTTATTGTGAGTGGATGTTTAGCTTGGTTTATCCAACGGTCTTTCGGTGTGTATTTGTGATGGAGTCTCTCCGGCTAGCGCCACAACTAAAGACGTCAGCATCTAAATTGAATGATCCAATTCGGCATTTCTGTTTGCTAATAGTAATGATATGCTTTTGGAGTCGTTAGAAAATAAGGTCTAGATACTGGAGCTGAGATTCTCCGTCCTGACATGTTTTAAAGCACTGGACCAACTGCACGAAGTTGGGACCTTTGAACCCCTTCAAAGCTTGAAAGGTATTTCCAAGTCAAGAGGCAAATCGGATATTAGAATACAACAGATTTGGAGTGTCGTTGGCAACAATAAAAATTTGGTGGTACGATTTACTGAACCAACCTTTTTTAGATCCTCATAGAAAGGTAAATGTTGGGCGCAATTTTTCTATGACGTGGTCAATAAACATGCATTCGATGCCTGTCATCTCTGTCCTGTTTCGGGATCACTGTAACATGGATGCCCATTGAGTTCTTGGTTATAACCTGATTCCCATACCTTTTGAATAAATGAATTATTTTTCCGACAGGCTTGGCTTTTCGGATGCTAATCAGCATGAGTCTGAGAATAAAGATGGTTACCGTAGTCAGGACATGACATGGTTAAAGCGCGGTGATGGTGGTCATGCCCGGTATAGTGCATCAGGGCCATGTTTTAATTTGGCCACCTCTCGGCTTCCTTTCAACTTACTCCTACATCACAAAAACATATGCTTGCTGTGGTGGTCGGTGATTGGGCAGACGTAAAACATGTCCCAAACACCTCAACTGGTGAAGTTTTCAGTACTTCATCTAATGATCTGCCAACCCTAACCAGTACTCGTTTCGTAACGACAGGCCATTGCTTAGTCGGCTATCCCAGGATATACGGAGCAATGCCTTCGAAGATATCTGTAGTCATATACTAGTATACCTACGAATATCCTCTACCTGCTGCGCAGTAGAACCCATCCTTTATTTAGCAGACTGATATCTCGCCAAAATCAAAATCACTCAATTTCACGAAATCCAATCGAGCCTATCTGTATCCGTGAACAGTGCCAGGGATATGATGTCATGGAGAATATAAACTAGAATCAAGTGTTCGTTTGAAAGTTTTCATTCCCATAGTCTCATAACACTTTTAAGTTGAAAATGCATTATATTCACTGGCAAACGGTTCTGACAAAAGTCCTCTGAAGCAATAGCAACTTTGTTGGTTGGTGTGGTCCTGAGAGTTATTATAATTTATGGTCACATAATTACGTACCGTTAGGTTCTGAGAAACATTTAGTTGCATTTATGAAGACACACAATTCTGTCTGCATAAAACCACAACAAAATCCTTATACCAAAAAAGATTATTCGTCGAATATATCATTCGAGATGTATACTCCAGGCGAGTTAATTAAAAAAAAAGAAAAAGCTGTCTATGAGGAATTCAGAAGAATGGCATTTGAGAAAACACACAGAATGAATGCAATCTGAATCGTTGCGAAGTTTTGAGCCAGGTCCTTCTAGCTCTCTAACCGTCGATTACCATTATCTCGTGGACCGTCAACCAGTTAGTCGATACCTACCAATACGATTCAATGCACTTGTCAGTGACTTCATGACAAAGGTAAGCAAGAATAGAGAATGTGTACAGCCCTGAAGGACACCTACCTGAAGTAGTTATTCGACGACAGTTCGCCACAAGCTCTCAATGGACCAGTAGTGTTCAAATACAGAGCCTGTATAAGGTCAGTGTACTATCTATTGGTACACCAATCAATGTCAACACTGCCACAGAAAGCGACACACGATCAGCAGAGTCAAATGCCATGTTACAGTGGACAAATACTACCACTGTTGAGACATTGAAGCGAGTGTGTCTATGATTTAAAAACCTGGAAAAGAGTGAAAATGAGGTTCAAGTGGCTGAAGGCCACTTGAATCGATTCTTGAAGTGCTCTGCTCATCGCTCCAATCTCCCGGGTTGAAAATGAGTGATAAAACCAATCTTTTTGGGACAGCCTCGATCACATTCGGATTACTAATACCAATTTCCTCTAAAAATCTGAATAGTTTTCTTCTGTTACCTATCGCTACTACTTTTCTTGATCATTAGCTTTCTGTACGCCCTCTTGTCTCGATGTTATTTCGATATCACAAGGCCAGTATCAAATATACTTCTCCCTCTAGAATCTGTTTCATTCTTGATTCTTAAAGTCCTGGAGTATTATTTGTTCTCCCGCGAAGTATATCGTACGAAACGCTATACATCCATCAGTTGGGCTGATTCTAATGAGACCTACGGCTTATTCCTAACCTTATGGTTTACCTTACTAGCAAACATCATTGCAGTTTCCACAGCTTTTTTTTGATATCATTACAAGCTGCCTCAGTGTGGGCATCTCATACTACATGGCTGCCTAACTGTTTTTCTGGTAGTCCCTGAAATATTTTCTTAGCTATGCCATGATTAAGCAGAACCCTAAGCGATTCTCTACGTCCAGTTAGTCGAAAACAAATACGCGCTCGCACTAGAGCATGACCTGAATCAAAACAAGTGCTCTAGACTGAACGGCAGTTTTCGATAAAGCCTCACCACTGATGGCTTATAGCGATGTGATATAGTCGGGTCGACTTTGATGGTCCCGAGTTGTAAAGGTGTTTTTCCTTATGCTTAAAGTTAATGTTTGCCAAAAAATAGGCGGTTATCTAAGCATAGTTGCAACAGACGGTCGCCATTATCTGTTCGATCAGCCGCGACAACATAAGATCCACCAAGATTCCTTTTCACCTAGTCTACCTACCTAAGCAATAATGTCACCGGCCATTATTACTATGTCAGAGCGCTTAACTTCTCGAAGTTTTGAAAGGTTTCTGTAAAGCTTATCTTTTATGTCGTCTGAACTGCAGTCAGTGGGAGTAAAAACAGATACGACAAAAAGGCAACGGCGAGTCCCTACCTTCAGGAGTCTGTACCGTCCCGTTCAGTCGGACAGTGCATAAGCGACTGTCTGTCAGGATCCATTCTAAGAGATTTTGTTCTGCCCTAAGACTTAATACTATACCTACACCGGTGAGGCCACGAGAAGCGGCAGCAAGGCTTCCAGATACACGAAGAATGGATCTAGCTAGTTCTTTAGTTTGACAAGGTTAAATCAAACTAATGATTCTGAGTGGAGAAAGTAGAGTTGTTCTCGAGTAAAAGCCTGCCTTTTGGAGAAATTCTCCATTTTGCGACAACAAGTGTATGACGGTCAAAATCATATGGGCATAATGATTCTATTGGGATCTTGTTTGCGCCTTTTGGAGATGCAGCATACATCGATGACACGGGATTCTAGAGTACAAGCTAATGAAGCATGTAGTCCTATTTGACACTTTTTCTGGAGATTAAAAGCTCCAACATGTAGTTTAGGATGAGACTACAGGAATAACATTTCATTGGTTTGAAACGTTTGCATCAACAGCGCGAGGCGTCAAAGTAACGAAAAAAGGTTTGGTCGTGGAGGCAAGAGAGTTGTTAGGTGCAGAAAGAACAGGTAGTCAGACTAGGACATATTACAAGGAAACCGAACTCCTACCTATCTATGGAGAGAGACTGTCAAATAATTGTTTACTCCCCCCAGAACTTCGAGGGTCAAGTGACCTTGAGGTGCCTTGAAGTATACTGCTGTTCAGTCAAACACGCTACATATTATAAAGGAAATCCTGTAATAGTCCTAGAGAAATACAAAATATTATTGACTAACACTATTATACCTGTTACCCCACAACCAAGCCGGTGGTATTTTTAATAATACACAGCAAACTTAGTGTGAAGTTTTGACAACTGTAGCACTCATGACTCCTAAGATGGACTTACTGTCCCCGCTGCTTACGTCACTGATGGTGCTTTCTTTGCGGAATGTACCTTTCATTTTCGAAAACTGATGTGGGTTTTTGTGTTGGGGCTAAGTTTTTCTTATAAGAAGACTATCTTAACTGATCGCAAACCACAAAGTTTGTGGGACACATATGATTGCGAAATCTTAAGAAACCTTGTCTTATACTAATTATTATGTAAAGAAACTTCAAGTATTGACTGAAAACCACAATACTTAGACCTACATATTTGAATATAGGCAAATATTCTTACGGTTTAGTAACGAGACCGACAAATTACGCCTTCCTCTCAAAGTTAAACGTACATCTAAAAACGACAAACACACATTTCCGACACTCATAAGGATGGATGTATTGAGTACACGTTATCTGCAGATCAAACATGTAAGCTACACACACTCGTTAAAACTATTTTCACTCTTTCCGAATTTAGAAATTTTGAAAAGCACTAGCAATTGAAAGCGACCTCTTAGGTTATCAGAAACCGTATTTCATTCTCTATTACTAACTTTTGACCTGTCGTTATTATTTTGACTAGCCAATTTAAAATATTCAATCGCAAATGTACACTGATTGATCGTTGGTATACATTTATTCCTCAAACAACCATACTACGAATTCTAAGTATCAAATCCAGATTAAAGAGAAACTTATTGAAATTGGATAGGGGGAGGAGGTGGTTCTGGAAATTCACCAACAGCGTCCCAGTAGGAGAGACGCCGGCGATATATGTATACGATGTGATTGATGCGGTCCTCTAATTTTGTCAACTTGACATCAAGATCATCAAGTGTTGGGCAACCAGATAACATATCCGTAGCACTTTCTCTCTCTAACTGTTCAAAACAAAGGTAGGGCTGAAAACGAGCGAGATTTTCATGTGCATAAGTGCGAGCCCTGAATAAAAAGTAGATAAAACAAATGTAGTTTAGTTAAAAAAAGGATAAAAAACGGAAAACGATTGGTGCAGTGACTCAACAAAAAATAAACAAAAGATAAAGTAATCACCACTGACAGATTTTCCTCTGACAGACAGTTTCTAGCCTATTTTTCAACTGAATAATATTGAACAAAATTATTATAATAATTTTGTGATCGCTGAATGAAGGTTCATTGAAGGTCCCAAAGTCAAAAGAACACAAGTTGTTGTTTAGAATTAGTAGTGAATCAATTAATTTTGCCACAAAGTACTAATCCACAAAATTTAGTGAGAAAAAAACTTCAAAATTTGAGGAGAATTACATCTAGAACAATATCACTTATTTGTTTTATCTATTTGGTATCGGCTAGGAACACAAGAGTATTTATTATTTGCAAACTGGAAATACTATCATTTCCGTTAACCTAGCTGATGCATAAATCAAGAAATTAATAAGAATCAGTTGTCAATCAAATAACAAAATATAATCTCTGAACTTAGAACATGTTGGTAGACGCTGGAAAGTTGTCGTCATCACTGACATTGATCTTTTTACAAGTGGAATTTAATTATAAATTTGGGCAAACTGCTTGTACACTGAATAGTGCTCTGAAGGTACGAAAATTTTATGAAGTATATTAGGTAGACAACCTTCGGGTATTACATATTTCAAAGTTAAGATGATAATGATGAGATTGTCCCAAAATAATCAAATATAAATATTCATCAAATTTTTACCGATCGTATTTATAGGTACAGTGAATATAAAATTTTAGGTGAGGGAGCATAAAATAGTGTGGTTCATGTACTAAATACTGACTTGCGTACACGACTGTGAACTAAATGCTTGGCATAACGACTAGTGATAATACGCAGTCCCCCAAAGCAAGGTGGGATGGGATTCGGGCCTGCGACCAAGTTAGTATTTAGAAGTAAGATACCTTACAGACTACAACAATGTATACGGTCATGTACATATTTTACGTCAAATTGAATAAAGAACAAATGAAATTACGACGTAATATAGTGATGCAAAATAGTTACCTAGAATTGAAATGTCCATTTACAAGAAATACTTCTCAAAACTCTACTGAACAACAAATATTCGAATTAAGATCTTTAATGAGATATGTACGTGAGATTCAATATCTACGTCATAAAAGACTTGAAACAAATAGTTATTGACTGTTTATTAATCTTGGATTGGATTAGTGATCATTCCTTTTCTAATCGACAAGTAAATCATAGTTATACTACTTTGACCAAGTATTTGGTACACAAATAACAGCTTGAATATTTAAGCACATGTATAGTAAATTGGTCAGTTGTCTTGATTTCTAAAATTTATTCCTTTGAGGTTAACAAATCGGTATCAAGAGGAAGCTATCGATCTTGTCACTTATATCAACTTGAGTTTATCATTCCAATTGGTTTGATGGTGGATAGGTATTCTTTCCAGTGGTTCTAGAGATAGTATACATATTACTGAATCCCCTTTTAAACAAAATGTTATCTTGAGACATTTTGAAAGTCATCATTAAATTAATCTGATTTTTTTACTTGGAACATATCCTTCGATATTTTCACTTTATTGTTAACGCATGCTTCCTCCTTTTCAACTTTATAATATACTTTATTCCGTCTAATAGTATGCTTAGCGATTTTTGTACTTGTATAGATAAATACAGTGAGTAATGTGAAATTAGTTCATAAATTAGAAAAAAATCAGTACAATTAAGTTTGTACCACCTAAGTGGTTTTACTTAAATCTTAATTTTTTTGACCAAAAGCATCATCTTATATGTGGTAAAAGATACTTACAAAAACCAGGGGTTCATTGAAGTAATGTATACCTCACTAGGTAAGTATCGACAAATGAAGTAAATCCACTTCACTAGGTCATCTAATCGATAACGATGAGGACCAACAGCTTCATAAATCTGTCCTAGTGACTCTGGATTATGTAAGCAATTGACGATTCCACGAGCAACATCACCCACATAAACAGGTTGTTTAACAGTCTTTTCTCCACGAGCCCATAACGGAATATAAACATTTTGCATTCTGTTGAATCGCCGAGCTGAGAAAGATAGATAAGTATGAAAATCAATGAAATCCATAAACATAAGACCAATCGCAGAGCGAAATTCACAAACAAATGATTACTCTGCGATAAAACAATACACGTTTGAATATAACAGTTTATAAAATTAGGATAATTAAATTGAACTAAAATTATAGATCGGAATCCTGAGATTCATATAAGCATATAGGAAAGTAAATTGGCGGTCAAGTTAAAAATGAAAACTATGGATTAAAACTAAATGAATACTATACGCGAGCAGTGTATGTAAATCCAAGCTTAAAAAGTGAGCAACATAGAAAATGAAATTATGTTTATAAAAATTGAGCTCGATAATCTGGTCCAAACTTATTCAGGGTAATGATTAAAACCAAAATTATCGAATATAAGTAGTTACAAGGAAACCTGTACTGCACAAAAGTCCAACAAAAATATGTCAAATATGTTTTACTGTGTGAACTTGGATCACTTGGTATGGCGTCTTTGAGAATTGTGCTGATTAAAATTTATATACGTGCAGGTGATTGTCTCTTACAATTCTCAATCGCAGAGAAATTCAACTGATTCAAGACATATCACTGCACGGTTGTGTGTAGCTATAGAATAAAATAACCATAAAAAAACATTCGCTTTTGCAGTAAGGGTACGTTCATTGACTAAAATTAAATAAGAATAGGCTTTCTCACAACCCTTTATCCAGCACAAAACTATATATGCAGTGAATCATCGATGTGTGATGAGACTAAGATTACTACTGACGTCATGCGTCGAGTATTACATGCAGATGACAAATCAGTTAAGGTAAGTGTATAGTTGTACCAAGGATCCTACATTATTTGTACTTGGCTAATTAATTTTGTTTACACTAAACAAGCAACGCATCCTTGATGATGTCTCACTTTTATTGATCAGAGTATTATTTTTTACAGGGAAGAAAGATTTCTGAATTTTTCGGTGAGAAGTCCTGATTTTAAAACTGTTTACTTCCACTCAAATTATTTGGCGACGCACCTTAGAAGAGTTAAACAGTAAGATAATGACGACCAGATGCCGACAAATAGACTTTAATGAACCATATACCTTTAGTGTCTGTCTTACATTATTTCGCAGCTGAAACATGTCAGAGGTATTCTAGGTATTCTGATAGTGTTCACAACTGTGAAGTTGCTTGTTTCATTTAATAGTGGTGTCACGTTTAGTTTTCCTGTATAATCAATATCTTTTAAGCAACCTGGTTTTTTGTTTTAATGATGAAATACACTCAATCGAATTATCCACGCAAGTATTAAGATAATCTGAATTACGTCCAACTTACAATCTGTATAAAGAAGGATATTAAGAAAAGATCATAGGGATACTCATTTTATTGTGAGCAGCATTCATTTGAAACAACACAGTAGAATGGCACATAGAAGAACGAACTAAAACCCTTATGACAACAAAATATTAACATTGTGCGAATATCTTTTGGAATCATTATTTGTCTGGGTATACAATAGCTGGTAGTGGCCGTGATCTGACTCCCATTTAGACGAACGAATGAATGTGCCATGAACATAAATTTTCTTTTTGACTCCATATATTACACCTAGACTCACTCTGTTTGAGCGACCGTGATAATAACAAACCAAACACGGATTAAGTTAGATAAATTTACTTTGAGCATTAGTTTACTCAGACATTAAAATACTAAGCAGGAAAACGAAGCGAAACGGAGAAGGGTGGGGTTACTTCACTTGATAAAGCCTTACTTACTCGCTATATATAGCCAGATAAAAATAAGCTAAAGACATGTGATGAATAAAACAAGCGATGCACATATATACTCCTAAGTAAAGACATTGAAGTTGTGTGAATAAATAGCAAGGTCAAAACACATGTCGACAATAACTTGGACAGAATAAATGAATCGGAGTCTTTAAAAGTTAGAGGTATCCATGTAGGCGTAATATAAGCTAAATATCACATCAGGCAACTCTTTTTTAGTTAGAAACCGTACAACTCTCTATGGCTGACATAAATGAGATTTTTAGACAGGAAAGACAAGAGTTACTAGGTTTGTGAACAAGATATTTAGTTCTTACAACATAATACTCCTTATATGCCGAGTATATGACCTAAAAGCTAAATAATTACATATTTGTCAAGTGGTTAAGACAAATTTTAGTTAATAATATCATTTACAATGAGACGTTTAGAACTTAACTGTTTGAAGGGATAACAAACCAATTGACATCACTTAGGGAATAGTTATGAACCTTAAAGTATCAGCCAGTTAATTTGTAACAGTTCCTTGAGTTGATAAAATTAACAGATGCAAAGTGAGGAAGATGCTAAACACGAGGCAACACAAATAAATTTAACTTCTCTGAAAGACGTAATGACTGAAATTTTGAAACACCTGAAACACAATAACTGTGATTTGAACGAATGAACAGAGTACTCATTCGAAACAATTTAACATACGTTTAGAAGCAAAATAACACAAGAATTTATCACTTTCTCCCCACATTTCGGCCGGTCTAAAAATTGTAGCATCCGGGCGTTCACGCAGAACCTCTTCTTCACCAATTGCTTTAGATATCATATATCGAGAGGGTTTTCGGACATATTTCGGAGGATTTTTGTTCTGACAGAGCGCAGATAAATGAACCAGCTGTTTAACTCCCAACTCTTTAGATATTCTTGCAATGTGGGCGGGCGTAATCAATATGTACTTGTTCAATGGTAAAGTTTCTCGTATCACATTGTGCGCCTGTTACATTGATAACTACGTCACTATACTTCATGGCTCTTCTTAGGGATTCATCATCTTTCAGATCAAAAGGCTATAAATTTAAGTTGAAAATGTCGTATTAATTTTACCGAATATAGTATAGTAAAGCTACATTTATGATAATTTGAGAACACGGGGGGATTGTTGAGACTGCTAACATTCTTCAGTTATTATATATATATATATATATATATACTTATATATATATATATATATATCGTAATCTACTAATCACTGTAGGAGAACATATAATTTGAAATTAAATAACTGATTTAATACTAGTATTAGAATTATATCTGAGGATTAAATCGTATCGCATATGGTAAATATAGGCAAATATCTACGAAAATTGTAAACATATGAACTTCCACGTTCCAAAACAATAGTTTAGTCTCAAACCAAGATTGTGAGGAAATACTATAAGAAAAATGTGCATGAGAATTGAAGTTGAACTTCAA